AGCGCGGTTTTTATCACTTAATCCTTCCTCTCTCGCCAGAGCCCCAGTTGCACTGAATTAAGTCTTAAGGACTTTCCCAACCCAGGCAGCTCTAATTCTCTCCAGATGCAGAGGCTGAAGCTAGAGGAGCCAGGCTCTGGGTTTCGGGATGGCAGCGGTGAGTGGATCATGCCGCTCACCTCCACGCGCCGGAGAGCCGAGTCGGGCGGCGTGAGGAGCCCCCTTCTTTCCCCAGCTCTCCCCTCTCTGTCTAGCGCAGGGGGAGAGGGCAAGACACCCAAGCGGCTGCTCCCGCCCGCGTGGAGAAGGATGGACGCGTTCAGCGCCCGCCGCTCTCAGGAGGCTGCTGCTGCCAAGCTGCACTCACCGCACACGGCGCCTGGGGAAATCCTGGCTCCAGCTTCTGCGCTTGATCTTCCCCTCCGCAGGTCGGGAGCCAGAGAGAAGCCGTCCTCCCTGGAGGAGGGGGTGAGGAGAGCCGGGTATAATCCGGGTGTGGGGAGCCCAGGACCTGGGCTGCCTGGGAAGAGGAGTTGCTGTGCGCGCACTTGGAAGCGGGGGCAGATTGTAAGCGATCGGCGGCAGAAGGGAAACATCAGAGCTTCCTGTTACATCACCGGACCCCGCCTGCTGTCGGGATTGAGTTACTTTCTTTCTCAAATAGCTCACCCGAGCAAAGCGGCTCTCCCCGACGCTTCCCAGCCTGGCCGCTGACAACTCCTCCTGCGCTGCCTCAAGCCCGGGCTCGGAGAGCTGCTGCCCCTTGCCATGTGCACGCAAGCGGTGCCCGGAACTGGAGTAGGAGGTGTAGCCGCTAAGGACACGGGCAGACAGGTTCTTTGGGTAAATCCGGAATATTTTATTAGCCCAACTGCAATAGTTGCAAAACATGCAGTGAGCCTGAAACTCGACCGTGTGTGACAAGAGGGGACGAGCTGGCCTGTCTTTGTCACCTATCAACTGGACGGGAGGTGCCCGGCTTGCAACCAGATAAATGAAAAACATCTTGTCTATCTTAGAAACAAAGGATGTGGGACAATAGCCGCATTCCTCCTTAATAGCTCCGTGACTTGACCCATCTCTGGCGGGCTCTTCTTCTACAGATGCCAGCACCATATGTTGCTCTATGCATTTGACTGGAAGTGTTGAAAAGATGTAAGTGCAGAACTAGGTTTATTCATCACTCAGATAGGAAGCTGACTCAAGCCTTCAAAGAAAAAATAAACCCGAAGTGAAATCTGCCACTTTTTTTTTCCTTATCTCATTTCTTCCCCCATTGTGGTCACAATGAGCAATTGATAGTTTTGCTTGAACTCTCAATTCAACATCGTGTGGAATATTAAATATACACACAAAAAGAAGTGCAAAACTGTAGAACACTTGGTTCAGAGATTATGCCTTTTATTAGATTTTAGTAGATCCAACTAAGAAATCACTCAAAAAAATCTTTTTTCTGCAAGCTTTCAGGTGCACACACCCTTCCTCAGGCACAGGGAAAATTAAAGAAAGTACACACACACAGACACACACACATTCAATTAAAAATGTACACACATATGTGTGCGTCTCTGCATGTAATGTATATACATAGAGATAAACAAATCAAATTTGAATTTTTAATATTTTTGAATTTTCATAAATATCAATTTTAGTTGCCTGCTTAAGATTTCTGATGTATGTGAGAGATTAGGGGTTGAAATCGATAGTAGTCTTTCCACTCACTCAAATATGTTTTGGATCAAAGGGACCTGCTGCTAATGATGCTGATGGCTTCTGAGCATCAGGTTTCTGTTAAATGTCTTAAACTGGTGACTCAAAAGTTTTGACTCCTAACTTTATGCAGAACCTTGAAAAGGTAAATGGCAATGACATGCAAAACCATGTAAATTGATGTCATCTTGGATTCTACTCTTGCAAGCATAAATGAATTCAATACCAGAAAATTTTCATAAGGATTCTCAAAAGTGCAGTACAGAATCCTTAATTATCATGTAGCTCATTTGTGCCCAACTATTAATATGGGAATCATTCCAGAATGAGGTTTATAAAACATTACCTAGGTATATCTTTTTAAACAAAAACATTAGCATCCAGATTAAAACCTGATATGCTAAATTTACAATTCAAGTAGAAATACTTGACAGATTTACATTTTCTTTATTCAGATTGATCAAAATAACTCCACAAAGTCCATGAAATTACCCTAGATGAAAACTAGAGTAATTTAGTTTATAGTTTTAAAAGGAAGGTGTATCACAGTAACAAAATGGATTTAAATCCACATCCCTAGTAGTACTGAACGCTGATATAAATGACTAGAACATTTTGGTAAAACATATTAAATGAATTACACAGCTTGAAATATTATTAATACATCCTAGTACAATCAATATAATAGAAAAATATATATTGCATGTCAAAATGTATGGCAGTGATGACCAAGGAGAGCGGAGAAGTGGCAGAAGGTGGGGGACTCAGTAAAAAAACAACCCAAGACTAACTGTTAGGGCATTCTTGCAATTGATTACATATAGGCAGCCAGGCAGTAGTCTCCTTAGACGACTCACTTGCATTTAATTCCAACTGAAACTTCCAATGGAGCTGCACCAATTTAGACCAGTTGAGGATCCGGCCCCAAAAATGTAATTGCCAGAGGAGTGGTTCATGCTGTCAGCAACAAGATATATGTTGCAATATAGTGCATAGAATTGTCCAGCAAGACTACTTATTCAGATTACCCTTGAGTCAGAGTTAACTGATTTAAGAATTAGATTAAAGGTTTTCTTAGAACATATTATGCCTCCACTATTGCTACCTAATGTATGCTAGGTTGGTGTATTTGCACATCAAACATCTAAAAAGGGAGCATAAATTAAAATAGCCCTGCCACTACTTTGATTTTCCCTACTTCTAGTTCTAGGCATTAAATTACACCAACGTAGACTCCCTTGGTTATTGATAGAGTAGTTGTAAATAGCTCAAAAGGAATGAGCACAGCAGAGTCTACTTTAACATTAGGAAGTTTAAATCAGTGTGAAGAGTCTAACATATCATCTTAATCGTCTAATATATCAATTTGGCTGCTGATCCATTTTGGTAAGGAACAGAGCAAATAAAATTTGAAAATGATCATGATTATGTTTTGATAAACATTTGACAAACATCCATTTTGGTAAGGAACAGAGCAAATAAAATTTGAAAATGATCATGATTATGTTTTGATAAAATCTATGAAAAATACAGGAAGGAAATTATAATTTAGTACTTACTACAGGGCTTTCTCACACTTTCTATCTAAATTGCCAGTACTGGATACTAATCTAGAGTGGCAGAATTGCTTTTATAAGGGGTGCCGGGGGGCATGTGTTTTTATTGTCTTGAACATCACTATTTGTAAGAGAATATTTAAGTATTATTTTTTTCTTTAAAATACTCTTTTTCCAATGAAGCACTCCTTGGCTGGACTCATTTGAGTCCCGTTTTTGTTTTTAGGGTTTTTTGTTGTTCTCCCGCCCTGGCGGGGGGTCGGGCTAGAAGATCTATTAGGTCCCTTCCAACCCTAAAACTATGAAACTATGAAACTATGAAATTTATTTTGTCCTTTCCTTAATCTAAGTCATCAAGTTCTGGGTTTAGCTGCAAGTCTAAGCACCCAAAAGATGTTTTGGATCCGATCAAATCTACGGGAAGCTAAAGAGAATCAGAACAAGGATTTGCTAATCCAGATTTCATCAGTTTAATGTACTGAGTGACATAATGGGAATTAGCTAAGGATAAGAAGTCCTACATGTAATTCTTACATGTAACATGTAAGGGTAGAAAGGATAGACTAACAAGCTACAGCAGCGTATCTCAACCTGTGGGTCATGACCCAAAAGTGGGTCACAAGAATATTTCAAAGGGTCTTAAGTGCCAGAAAAATGCACGAAATGTGGGTTTCCCTTTGCAGGTTGGCAGCATTCCAGCCTGCAAGGGGTTGCATGGGCATAGCCAACATGCAGCCAGGCAGGGTCATGAGAGCAGCCCCAGCAGTGGGATGAAAGTAAATGTATGGGAAGTGGGGGTTGGAGGGCCAAGGCGTAGGGACTGTTGGGGGTGGTGTGTGCATGCGTGTGTGTGCATGTGCATGTGTGGAGGGGATGAGTGTGTCGGTGGGGGGGCGGGGCAAGTGCCTGCTGGCACTGGGGGAAGGTGGCTGGATGGCCAGGTGCCAAGGCTACGGCAGGGCTAGGGGGGGGAGGGGCACTGTGGGTCAGGCACCAGTAGGGCCAGGGGGGTCTGGGTCGGGACAAGCCGTCAATCTTTGCAAATGGTTCCCAATAGGAAAAAGGTTGAGAACCACTGGGCTAGAGGACTGTATATGCAGTGTAATGCTGCCATCCAGTGTTTAGCATTCATCAATACATCATTTAAACTTCATTTTTCATTTAATAATTTCAATGATCAAAACATTGTTGATGGAGTTGTTCGATAACATTTTGATAGCATCAGAAATTACTTGCCTCAGGACAAAATACAATATACATACAAATATAAGGTTTAAAAACAATCTACATACTTTTCTTCACTTCCCCACATATGCATTTTCAGGTTTTGTGATCAAAATGTAAAAACTAAATGTGTATTATTCCCATATTTTGCTTCTTGTTCAAATTATAAAAATATAAACTAAATGTGAAAGATGGATATGTTTCAAGCTGTGATTTTTTCAGAGCAAATTTTCTAGTGTAGGATCAGAAGAAGTTATGGATAGAACACAGATGCTTCTAAAAATAAAACCAAGCATCTCTAATGTATATGCACTTATCTATAGTTCTCTGTATTTTTTATCCAATCCTTTTTTTTTTTTAATGTAGCTATCAGCTTAGTTTCAGGATAATATTTTGAAAGTGGTAGACTCTGGAAGACCTGTGACTAATAAAATTTACAGAACATATTTCTTTTGAACGGAGGTGTGATAATGATGGATACAATACAATGCAATATAATGTAATATTCTTTTTCTGACATTTTTGTAACCTAGGATTTAGAATAATAGAAAAGTAGGGCTGGAAGTGGTGGTCAAACAGCTAGTCCATTCATCATCTTAGGCCATTCATTCTTTCTCCCTGATAATACAATGAACTGAAGATGCATTCTTTATCTTTAACTGCCTTTGGAAAAGGATTATTTTTTACTCTAAGTTTAGTTGCTCTGGAAATGTGGTTTTGGGAAGATGAGAAAATATTTGATGAGTAAAAGAGGAGAGGAAAGAAAAGTTGCAAATGAGTCCAGGATACAGATAGATTGCACTGAAGTCCTTCTTTCTGTAGTGCAGTGTTTCTCATCCTTGTTAGACTCAAAGTACCCTTTGGAAAATGCCAGCTCTCAGCTTTCACTAATTTTTGTCTATGGAAAAATAATAGAGCAAGTCTTCTGTTGCAAAGAACTTGGAAAGACCACAAGTCAGCATGTATTTAACACGATGAATTTTTATTTGAAATCTCTGGATTTATTTTGTGAATCATGCAGGTGTTTGCACAACTAACGGCAGCACCCTGTGGTACCTTTAAAAGGATTTAATGGCACCTCAGGTTGCCATTTCACTCTTGTTGATAATCACTGCTCTAGTGGCTTGCTTTCAGAAGAATATCCAATCAATAAGAGAAGTTCACAGAAATATAAATCTTTCTTCTGATGTTCAATGAGAGGTAAAGACTTTTTTAATGCTGTATCTTACTGCTCAAAGAAAAAGGTAGTGGGGGGGGAGCTGTAATACTGTTCTGTTGATGGGTTATTGGCATGAGTCAAAATCCTATACAGACTCAAAGACAGATGATGATTCCTGTTCTCCCATGGGAGAAATCCTAGTCTTAAGGAATTCTATGGGTGTTTTGCCATATCCTATAATTATTTATATTAGTATTATATCTGTATTATTAGTAAGACAATTTTTAACAATGGGCTGGATTGTACCCTGAAAACCTGGCAGCATGCTATGTTTGGTGTTCATTACACTGTGAATGGCCATCAGACATTGGGGAAGAAGCACATAACATTCCTTAAAACTAAGATGTAAGATAGCTTCTGGTTCTCTTTCAGTCTTCTAGGGCAAACTTTCACCATTCCCTCCCTGTCAGCCCCTGGAGGGAATTTTCCATGTTAAGTAGGCTTTAGGTCTAGGGACAGGCATTACATAAACTGGTTTAAGTGATCAGAAACTGGTTTAAACCTGTAAGAGAACAGATGTTCAGTGCACATAAACCAGTTTGAAAATGGCTGAAATTGGTTTGAGATAAACCTGGTTGAATGTAGTAGCAGACTTAACTGATTTGGGTCAAACTGGTTTATGCAATGTCTGTCCCAGACCCCTTCCCGGTTTAACTTAAACCAGAGTCCCCCAGCATCTCAGATGCTTTGCAATCCTGGGCAGGGCTCTCTGCTCCACAGCAGGGCTGGCCCCGTACCTCTGCTCCCTGGTTGGAGCTCCGGCAGAGACTGAAGACACAGCAGCATCTGCCTGGCTTCCTCCTGCTACACCCCCTGTCACCACTCCCTGCTCAAGCAGGGATTCCTCCCTCCTGTCTCCCACAGCACAGACCCTAGCCAGCATGTGACATGTTAGCTAATGCTGAGAGGTATCTGTGTAAGGCAGGCAGGACAAAGGCAGATAGAACAGTGTTCACTTAGGGCTTTTTGGAGCTAATCAACAGGTCAGCTGGTAACATCCCTTTGTTCTTTCCTTGGAAAAAGTTATTTAAGAAGAGGTTTAACTAATGAGAGAGACATTTGTTTTCTGATGGGGTGATAAATGCTCTGTTATCAACTCCCTGCTAGGCTTGTCAGGAGCAGTGTGGGTGGGGGGAAGGGGCAAGGGGGGAATCCCTCCCTAATCAGAGCATCCTGCCCAGGCCTGGCCATACCCCCTCAACTCAGCACCGTGGAAGGGAACGGAGGGCTGGTCTAGTGCCCCCTGGCTTCTAGCCTGAGCCACTGCAGGCATGGGTCTGCATTTCTTCAGTCCAGAGGAGATGTCTGTACGGTTACAAACTGGTTCAGCCTAGCCAGGTTAGAGTAACCTGCAACGATTAAATCAATTCAGGCTCAGGCTTTTTGAATGTCTGTTCCTAACCTAGGAGACCAGCAGCAGCTGGGGAAGTCTGGTGCCATGATTGTACTGGGTGAGACGGTGTGGAGAAGGAAATGTGGTGGCGGTGTTTCAGTCAAGGAGGCATTTGTTTTCTCCAGGGGGAGAGGCTGTATTTGACTGAAGAGCCCTGTTGTTAGAGTGAGAGGGAAACATTAGACCTTCATAGTAGTTATCATTAGCAAGTTTGTATCCAAGTCCATGTCAGACTGGTAAATCAAGCTTTTCAGAAAACAGGACCCATTTTAAAATACTAGCTTCCTTTCCCTGCTCTATTTTTAATGCCATTCCAAGTCATTCTGAATCTTGCATTTCTGTTTAATATTATGTTGTATAGCACGTAGAATTAGGGTTGGCTTCAAATCACCATAGTAAAGACTATGTTCTGTACCCTGGAAAATCAAGGAAATCAAGATAGAAAGGAGGAAGGGAGTACCTAAAACTGCTTCTCTGGGCTGCCCTCTGCCATCCACCCATCTATTATGGATCTTCAGACCTAAGGTGACACTTGGATTTTGTACAGTTATAGGAACTGAGCAACATAAGAACAGAGCCTTTATCTGAATTGGTTTCCCAAGTGAAGAGATGCTCTCATTGCACTGAAGTGGAATTGAAACCAAACATAAATATATCTTGCATCAGTTCCTAGTGATAGGAATTAATCAAACTGATATTCTATCAAAGAAGAAAGCAATTTATTGCCAAGATTAAAACAAATCCACCATGTAAAAAACAAAGCACAGATGAAAGAAAAGAAAAACATTGTATTAAGCTCATGGTTACTGTCATTTAAAAAATATAAACAGAAATAAAACCAGTGCAGGTAATATTAGCAGATTTACATTTTTTATAGAAACAGCACAAGTATGATGAGAGAGAGCTGAAACCAGACATTTAAAACTCTTTCATTCTGTAGTAGCAATGCTTTGCATAAATAAGGCAGAATAAAAGGTTAATCCACTTATATGTTTTCTTAATCATGAAATAATAGCTGACACTTAAATGCTCATTAAATTTAAATGCTAATTAAGGTGTTACCTTTCCCTCTCAACATTGCAAATGATGGGAAGTCTACTACTGAATAGCAGTCATGGAACATTGCTGGATGCCATTTCCCCAAAAGCAGCTCTGATATAACCATCTTATTCAAGCTTGATGCAAAATACCAAACAAAAACCTGGAGTAGTTAATGCAAATCCATAGCAGACATGTCATTAGTCTGAGAGCTGTACTCTCACTACTATAGAAGAAGATCTTAATATCAGGCTTATTAGGCCACTAAAACAGATTTTTAAATATATGCAGAAAAAGTCACTTTGAATCCTCCCTGCACTCTGCAGTTACTCTGAATTTGCAGGGCTCAATTTGTCTCAATCATGCACTTTTCATATCATGGCTCTCCATTACTCATATGATTATCCACCATATTTTCTTATGAACCCCTTCAGCCTTTATCATTCATATTAAGTGTGCTCAGTGTGCTGGCTGTTATGAATCTCAGTGAGGTTTCACAGTCTCTCCAGCCATTGTATTGGGAGCATGTGTGCCTAACTTTGGTAACCAAGACCCTATGTCCCTTTTCCCAGAGTACAACAGAGAACACAGGCTTCTGAAACCACTCAGACAAGTCATACAGGCTAGAGAAGTAAGAGAAAACCCAGTGGTTAAAATGCTAATATGAAACATGGGAGATCTTGGTTCAATTTCTTGTGCTGCTAAAAACACTATCTGTGGCACTGAGTTAGTTGCAACAAGATTTTTTAAAGGTGTTTGGGCACCTAATGAGATTTTTGGAGTATTTCTATTTAAAAACAGTAAGTTCTTGTGTGTTTTTGAAAATCCCGTTAGGTAACCATCTACATCTTTAGGAGCCTAAATTGACTTTATCAATCTATCCCAATGTCTTTCTATGCTTTACCGCCCCTTTAGTGAAGTAAATATAACAGCACTTACCTGCCTCCCAGAGGTGCTGAGGACCAGTGTTAACAAGTGAGAAGGACTCAGATTTTCTGGCAAGTGGAGACTGTGGGCAGTACTTTAAAATAAATATAATCTGAAAAATTATGTAAAGCCTTTGATATCATGTCAGCTGTAGACAGTATTGTATTCAAGCTCAAACACGTGGCAACAATGAAATGCAAAACTCTAAAACTCTTGGTTCAGAGATTATACCTTTTATTAGACCAACTAAGAAATTGCAAAAAAAACCCCATCTTTTTCTGCAAGCTTTCGGGCACATGCAGCCTTCCTTAGCCTGAAGAAGCTTATGGGAAAAGATTTTTTTTTTTGGTGATTTCTTAGTTGGTTTAATACAAGGTATCATCTCTGAACCAAGAGTTCTAGAGTTTTGCATTTTTTTTTTGTCTCAGACCAACACGGCTACCAAATACATCCCTGGAAATAATTAATGCATTTTGAAAACCCCCAAACCTAACTAGCATCTGCTATATTTCAAATGAAGAGAAAGTGTAATGTGACCTTCAAAGTGACTAATTTGACTTGTATCTGGACCTATGAAGGGAATTTGTTTTGTTTTTAACTTCACAGAAATATACATTTCTGGAAACTATTAATATATAAGTCCAAGCAAGAACAGGCTGAGTGATTTTGGCTGCAGAGATATTCATTAAGCATCTATTGCATACAATATACATTAAGCATCGTGGAGATTCCTAGTGATATTCTTCTGCACGTTTATAATGTGCATATTCTCCTTTGTGATCTCCATGAAGATAACTGATCTCACAGCTGGTTTCCAACAGTATTATACCATGAACATCAATAAAGTTGATATGTACAAGATTCAGTGATGGTTTCTTCCATTTAGTCATAACCCTATATTTTAATCTTCAATTAAAATATTAGTGCTTCTATGTGACAGCATTATAGTTTCGAGAAAGAGCAGTTGCCAGGAAATGGCTAAGAGGTCAATAAAAAAATCTTGATGAACCCTCACTTTGGAATCATTATGACTCCGATACACAAGTTCTGTCCTTTGTCAGCTCAGTTTCCAAATTGCATTTTAACTACATTTACCAAGGAAAAAAGCTAATGCAAACATGAATAAGCAATAATTCTAATAAGGAATCTTATAAAAAATCTGAGTAGGTTAATAATGTATAATAAAAACATTCAGTATAATAAACATTTTAAAATGACATATAGTCAAGTTTTTAATTCACAGGTGAAATGTGGAATACTTCATATTTTTCTGAGAGAGTGCAGATTATATCCTTTCAATGATAATTTCATCTCTCACCACCTTCTCTGGTTGTTTCTTTCTTTTCCTCTTGATTTTTATTATGCCTCTTTTTCCTTGCTTTTTGTTGAAACCTAAAGGCAGAAAAAAACAGTTTTACACAGTGTAGTGTTGAGAGATCCAGCATCATATGAAACAGGGAAGGGCCAGATTCTGCTTTCACAATCCATAACAGGGTTTTCACAGTTTGATCCCTTGATCTCTCTTAGTCTCTCTGACTGCACCCCTTCTCCTGCTGCAGGGTGACAAGCCTTCACCTGTCCAGGGGCCAGCACCGTACCTAGACTCCTGGTGGCCCCAGGCAAACTTTTAGTATTGGGCCCCCCTTCACCAGAAATAATAATAATAATAATTTTTAAATTACCATTTTCAGGCTCCTTTCTGTCTGGGGCCCAGGCGGCCACCCAGTTTGCCCATGCCTGTGTCCAGCCCTGCCTGCAGCTGAATCCTACACTCTCCCACTCTTTAGACCAGGGAGATGAGTGGTGCAGGGCTGGTCCATGAGCAAGACTGACCCCACATTCCCATCCTGATCCTGCCGCCATAGGGCTGTGCTGCATGACCCCGGATCCCACCCCACAGGGCTGGGCCACACCACTCTGAAGCCCCTGCCACGTGCAGCATGGCTGCTCCAGGTGGCTGCTCCATTGCTATTGCACAGAGCCATCCAGCACACCCTACCTGCTGCTGTGGGTCACTGAGACCCTTGAGCAGCACTGGGGCCTGGATGATATGGCTCTGTGGGCTGAATCAGCCCCTTAGGCTGTATCTTTGACAGCCCTACTTTAGACTTTGTTCCTTAGGGTGGATGAGCAATCAGCAGTCATAACATTTAGTTGCCCTGCAAGACTGTCCTTCAGTACATGTGACCAGTTGGAGAATATGGTTGCCTAAAACAGCCATGTTAAACCAAGGTATTAAGGAAGCAAGAAATCAAAGTATAACAAGAAAACACAAATGCAAGAGGGCAGAGTGAGACATCTTTATGTGTTATACTAGATTAAGTATATAATGACTGAATCACACAACATAATGGAGCAAATTTTGTTCTTGATTACACTTCAATTCAAAGATACAAGAATTTAAGTGAAACCAATACATGCTTCAGTCTTACCTAAAGCTTAGGTATCCAGCTTCTTGATTTCAGGGCAGGCTATATCTCTGCACTTTCTCTTTTCCCTCCCCCCACCCTGCTGTCCAAGGATTGCCCTTTTTATCTCTCTCAACATTCCTTTACAGGCACTAGCCCTTCCTAAACCTGGCCAACCGGTTCAGGCATCCCACTTTTGTCTCTGCATTGTCCTTTAATTACTTGTGATGGGTGGCTATTACAATTGTTTTTCCACTTTCCTGTCTATGTGGCAGTCAGCCCTAGCTGGAATTAATCATTTTCTAATTAGATAGCAATAAATAGAAACATAACCTAGCAGAGTGATGAAAATATGTAATATTCATAAAATAAAACTGACTTTTCTCACATACTTCACAAAAGTTACTATAGATTTATGAATGTGTAAGTGAGAATAGTGATCAGAGGCCCGATTCAGCTGTCACAGTGTAAATGATTTGCAGTGACATGCTGCCAATTATTGAAAACTCTTATTTACAGCACTGAAACAGGACATTAAACTGAATAGCAAGAGTGCCACTGATTTTAATTAGACAGCCCACTAATTTAAATGAGATTAAATGCATGTATTATTCATAATGTCAGTGGCCTGACCCTTCTTTGGCAGTCCCTTGCAGTCAAGGATGATTATCTTCCATGATTATGGAATCATGGCCTGACCCATCTCCCATTAGAATCAATGGGACTTTCTGTTAAAATTCACGCTGTTGTTCCAGTGGGAGATAAATCAGGCCATACCTAAATCAGACCAAACAGTAGACTCTAATATCTTAATGACTCATTTTAAGAAAGATCTATAATATTTTGAAGCTATGGTATATTCAGGGGTGGGGAAAAAGGTGGATCCGGCCAGCAGCCAGACTTTGTTTCCCATCAGCCCCTGCCTACATCACTATGGCTGGTTTCCATGGAGACCCCAGGGGAAGCAGGGCCATGACAGCGCAGGACCAGGATTTCAATGGAGAAGTGCCCAAGCAGCCCTGGCAGGGCATGAAGCTGGATGAGAAGCTGCTCTGGGGTCCAGATTTGGCAGTGACAGCAGTGGCAGTATCATCTGGAGCCAGGGCAGTTATGATCTACTGCCTGCATGCCCCTGCCTGAGACGTGGGCAGCAAGTCATAGCTCTGCCTGGTTCCAGCCTGCACTGTTGCTGCTGCAAGAACCCAGCCCTAGCCCTGGTCCCAGCCCCGGCCCTGGCCCTGGCCCTGGAGCAGCTCCCCACCCAGCCGTGTGCCTGCCAGAGCTGCTTGGGTTGGTCTCCATGGAAACCCTGGCCCCACATTGTCTTGCCCCATCACTCCTGGGGTCTCCATTAAACCTGTCACAGTAACATGGGCAGGGGCTGCTGGGAAATGGAGGCCACTGCAGCCTGACCCAGCCCATGGGCTGGACTTTGCCCGCCCCTCGTATATATCAATATTTGTTCAACATTGATAAGTACAAATTCTACATATTCTCCAGTCCACACAAGAACACCTAATGAAGTCAGTGGATCAATTCTTCCATTTAGAGAGTCAGAACAAGGCCTTGCATGACTTAAACTTAAGTCACATTTGAAGGGCTCCGGCAAGAATTCAGTGGAGCTAGGGGATTGTGTTTTGCATAGAGTGAATATCACAAAAATATCAGAATGAAAAACATATTCTCCTTTCATCAAGGCTCATTTGCTGAAGAGTTCATCCAGCAACAGATTAAATAGTCATTATACTGGTCTGACTATTTTGCTTGGATTAAAACAATTATCCAATATGGAATTATTTTCTAGAATTGTATCACATTCTTCTTATGCTTTCATTATTATATTTAGCAGACTACTGTTGTTTTCTAATAATTGCATGATTTCTTCTTTTTTTTTAAAGTCTCTTGGCATTTACCCTTCCATCTCAGTGTAAACTTAATATTTTACTAATAAAAGCAATTAGCATTATTTATTTCCATACCTGTCACACAGGTCCTCATACAAGACTTTCTGGAGACAAAGTTATTTTCATTCCCACCACATCCACTGTAGCCAAATGGATGGCATTTTCCAGTTAAGGGATTAAAGAAAAATCTTAGCTCATTGGCTCTGCAAAGGCCTCTGTCCATAGGACTCGTACAGAAAGGAAGGAGGGATGATTGTTCTAAGAAGATGAAAAATAAGCATGGTCAAAGACAACATTGAATCTAATTTCTTATACTCATTGCCAAACTGCAGTTTATTAAAATATATCTATACACCAGACTAAATAAATAAAACCAACAAAACAAACTCAGACACTTACAGTAAAATTGAAATGGGACTTTAATTACACAGGCTGAGGACAGACATTCAAAAAGCCTGAGCCTGAATTAATTCAATCTTTGCAGGTTAGTCTAACCTGGCTAGGCTAAATCACTTTGTAACTGCACAGGCATCCCAGACATACAGGAACATGCCTGCAGTGGCTCAGGATAGAAGCTGGGGGGCACTAGAGCAACCCTCCCTTCCTTTCCACAGTACTGAGCTGAGGGGAGCCATGGCCAGGCAGGATGCTCTGATTAGCCCAGCAGGGAACTGATAACAGTTTTTATCACCCCTAGCTCAGTGTTTACCACCCCATTAAGAAAACAACAGAGAGACATTACCAGCTACCTGATGATTCTGTTTTTGTCCCATCTGCCACAGCACAGACCGTAGCCAGCATGTGCTCTGCTAGCTAATACACAGATACCTTTCAGCAAGGCAGAGGGGAGGGGAAAATTCCGGCTGAGCAGTGATTGGATGAGGGTGCGGGGCAGGGGAACAGCCTGCAGTCTCTGCCGGAGCTCCAGCCAGGGATCAGAGGGGAGGGACCAGCCCTGCTGTGGAGCAGAGATCCCTGCCCAACCCACAGAGCATGCCGGGATGCTGGGGGAGTCTGGTTCAACTTAAACCAGCAAGGGGTCTGGGACAGACATTGCATAAATTAGTTTGACCCAAATTAGTTAAGTCTGATACTACATTCAACCACATTTATCACAAATCGGTTTTAGCCATTTTTAAACTGGTTTATGTGCACTGAATATCTGCTCTGTTACAGATTTAAACCAGTTTCTGATCACTTAAACCAGTTTATGTGTAATGTCTGTCCCTAGCCTTTGAGCCTGCTGCCAGCATGGGGCTGCTCTGCTTTGGCTTAAACTGCTGGTGTCCTAGATTCACATGAGACTCTGAACCAGGGAGCAGCTGACTCCACTGTGAACTACATTGGACTTTATTGCTCTGTGTTATTTGAAAGTGTAGATACACCCCATGTGTTGTTTTTTGCATAACCTAACAGTGCTAATGTTGTGTGCTACCCTGTGACAACCTTAAACAAACCTCACAGTACCCCAGGGTGCTGTGGCACCCTGGTTGACAATCACTGAATTATGACAGTAATCAATTGATTCACTTGAAATAATTTTTAAATGACCTATGCAGAATTATGCTACACAGTGGGCACATGTACATGTGCCCCTATGGCACCATTGTTACTCCACCGTCATTTAGTACTTTCTTTCGGAAGGTTGCAACCTTTGGGCCAGGTCAATACTGCTGGATCTTTTAGCATGAATGAAGCAGTTTTTTAAAACCCAGATTCAGGGGTCAGAAGTTCAATCCTAGCTACTGATGGACTACCAAGGGTTATTTAATTATTTGTAATGCTTGGTACTACGTCTGTTCCCAAGTTTCTCCACCAAATTTTGTGGATTTACAGACACATTTTCCTAGGAGTTCAAAATATGTTTCTCCTTTTCTTTCTGCTTGAAAAAAAAATAATTACACAAAACACAAAACAGATGCAAGTAGGGAAATGGTGAAAGTGGAAATGCACAAACTGCTGTGAAAAGCCCTAAGCAAACAATCTGAAAAAAATACGGAAAAAATATACATTGAACTACATCATTATTACCCTAGCTTTTAGGACAGATACATAAGATCCAAGGGTTTTAATGCATGGCCCACTGGAATCTCTGGGTTTCAGTGAATCTTTCTGTTTACTGCAATGGGCCTAAGACTTTTGGCTTCCTCACTTGTATCACTTGTATTCTTCCGCTCTTGTTTATTCTAGCTTCTAACTTCATGTGAGTTATAGATTTCATGTGACAATTTCATAAACTGGATTTTCTAAATCTAAATTTTTTTTGCAAAATGTTTCATTTAGCTTAGCATTGTGGGATCATGAACAGGAACTGAAGGAATCTATTGGAAGGTACAGAAATGAAAGTTTTTGTGGCGAGCTGGTTGAGAATGTTACAGAGGAACTTTTTTCTGCTGGAAAATCTGATTCAATGAAATAAAAACATTCTGTCAGAGCATGTCCATTCTATCAAAACTTTTGAAAGAAACCAGACCTTGGCAGTCCATTTGTTGCTAGGCCTAGGACATCCTCCCAACTTGGCAGCTGCTTGCCATTTGGCTCTTCATCTTTACTATTATATTGCTTCCTTAAGAATCTTAAGATTTGAAGCTAAATTCCTATATTGGTGGGTGGGTATTGGCACAGGTTCATTAGCTATGGCAAGTTATAGCAGGAGAGGTATTTCACCACCTCACCACCCATGGCTCTAATAGGAAGTAAAAGTAGAGTTGGCAAACTCAGTAGTTTTAAAATGCTGCACTTTTCTTTCCTGTATGTTCAAAATCTACTGCTGTTTACCTGAGGGCTTTTCACCAATCCTATAAATTAAGGAAGGAAACCATATTATATATTAATGTCTGGAACCTTTATTGGTAGTGAAAAAAACATGTTGGTGTAGGAGAGCTTCACTCATAATATCCTTAAATACTAGGGCTGTGAGAAACAGCGCCATTTTGTTTCAACTTCCATTTTGACGTTTTGATGGGACAGTGTTTTATTTGAGTTTCATTTCATTTCAAAACCACTGTTCTGTTTCGTTTTGTTGAAACTGTTTTGCTGTTTTGACGCTGTTTCGACATTTTGCCCATAGGCTATACTGGGAAGCACAAAACTACCTATAACTTTGTCATTTCTTGCCTGATTAAGATGAAAGTTGTGGAAATGGTAGCCCCTTCTGAGGCCCTGAAACCTGCCAAGTTTCAAGGAGGTAAGTGCAGGGGTTTCAAGGAAACTGCACCTCAGGCTGCTGACAAGTAAAGCTTGTGACATGGGTGACACTGTGTGTGTGCTAAGGTGCAGCAGGGTGAAAACTGAAGGGATGGTAGCCCCTGATGAGGCCATGAAGCCTTCTCAGTTTCAAGGAGATAGGTGCCAGGGTTTCTGGGAAACTGCACCTCAGGTTGCTGACAAGCAAAACTTGTGACATGGGTGACAGAAAGCAGGCCAATTCAAACAGTGCTTCCTTTTATGCTGTTTTTCCATCCTTCCCCCAGAGCACTGGGATTGGAAAGGACCTCAGGGAAGGATTACAGTCACTGGCCAGCTACACAGTCACTATGAGAGCAGTCCGTTCCCCCACTTCCCTCTCCCTCTCCTTACTTCAGTTTTTGTTTTCCTGCAGGCAAGCCCAGCTTGAGCTTCGAAACTTGAAACATCTAGAAACTTTTGAAATGTTTTGACTGCCCTTGTTTCATTTTCAGGCTGTTTTGAAGCCCTTCGTTTCATTTTGATTTTGATGTTTCAAGCTCAAAACGAGTCAAAACAGTGTCAAAACGAAACAGCTGGTAAAATTTCGCACAACCCTTTAAATACCCCTGTCCAAAGTAGTCTGCCAAGGCTTCCTTCATATTTTTCTCATGACAGCTGCAGGTGTCCACAGAAGTGAATGTTTCTTCAGATGTCTGTATGGGCTTCTCTGGCTCAATAACCCATCCACCTTAATGTGCCTTAAATATTGTCCAGGATATATAAAATCATTACCATGCTGTGACAGCCAGCGCACTATCTGGCTTTTAGATTCCACATCCATATATCAGAAACTAAACCTTTAACAGCTCAATAAACAGCTCCTTCCAGGGGTCCCATGTGCAATTTCACCAATCAAGGCAGCAGTGGTATGCAAGGTGCTCAGTGGTGACAGATGACAGAACAAGGAGCAATGATCTGAAGTTGTAGGAAGTGAAGTTTAGGTTAGATATTAGGAAAAGCTTTCTCACTAGGAGGCTAGTAAAACACTGGATCAGGTTCTCCACAAAGGTGGTACAATCTCCATCCTTGGAGGTTTTCAAGACTGGGCTAGACAAAACTTTGACTGGGATGACCTAGTTGGGGATGGTCCTGCTTTGAGCAGGGGGCTGGATTAGATGGCCTCCTGAGGTCCCTTCCAACCCTAACTTTCTTTGATTCTATGATAAGAGGTGATGCTCACCCCATTTATTTTAGTGGAAGTCACTTCTTACTCTTCATCATGGTGAACAGGCTCAATAGTTCTTATAACCCCGATGCACATTTCCATGCCATCTACAGATGGGGATAAATTCTCTTGGAGGTCCATGCCACATAGTGTAAATGGAGAAGCAGTCCTTTCTTTTATATATTCAGATACATGGTGACTTGCGTGGAGGAAAGGGCACACAAAGTTCTGAAAGATGAGGCCTGTGCCTTCTCAGAGATTGTTTCATGATTGTCGACTGTCTGACTCCAGCCCATGAAAAAAAGCTTGCACTGAAAAACAGTCACGTGGTTGACATAGGAAAAGTTCTAGTAGAGTTGTAACAGCAAGACACTAAAGAACTATAAGAGAACCCATGGTGGTGCTACATGGTCAGTGCCTGAAGAAGACTGTTGTGGTTGTTCTCTGTGCCATTGATTCTCTAGGACAGGGGTTTTTGACCTTTTTTAACAAGTGTGCTCCCCCTGTCTCAAAGTTTCAGTTCATGTACCCCTTTATATTAAAATTATTTGGGGAGGCTGAGCATGTGTACCCATACGTGCCCCCCCACCCCTTACCTTAGGTAAGTCTGTGGGGGAAGGGAAAGGGCCATGGGGAGGGGGTGCAGATTGAGGCCCCTGCAGTGAGGGAGGGAGTGGAGCACAGACAGGGGCAGGGGGTGAATGGGGCCCTGGCCAGACTGGATCCTGGGACAATTAGAGCCTGGGTGGTTCATCCAGGGGCATGGGAGGGCTCCTGCTGCTACGCACACCCTGGCAGTGGCCTGGGGGGCACATGCCCTGCTTATCTGTGTGTGGGGCAGAGGCAGTTGCCGCTACGCACTGGGCTTTGAGCACCACTGCAGCTGCCCCAGGAACAATGCGACGCCATGTGCGTCCCACCACTGGGAGGGCAGAGGGTGCGGTGCAGCACGGTGGTGGCAGGCACGTGGCATCGCACCACTTTTGGGGCAGCTGCAGTGGCATGCAAAACCCAGTATGTAGTGGCAGGAGCCCCT